GCTGTAACCCATGGGAGAATAATAAACTAGCATTATTTGTTTGTTTATTTAATATCAGAAAGGGGCAACCTGCTGTAACACTTACATTTTATTTGTGCTGCTTGATTGCCTATAATGGAAAAAATGCCTTGAGGCCTAAAATACATTAAAGTGTTGGGTTTTTTTTCAAAATGACACTGTGGCTTCCAAAAAAATACTTGAGCAAAGTTACACACTTCAGTTTTTTTTCCCCTGTGGAAGTCATGCACCAGTTCATGAGGAGTGTCTAGATGAAGCGGTTACAAAATGCGAAGGACAAGTTGTGTTATGGGACTGGCCATTACAGCAATAAGCAGGAAGAGGAACCTTTTGTGCTCCTTTATGGCAGATGTCTTAGTACTGTTTTCTGCAGTGCAGCTGTAGTTACTGTAAGGGGCGGCCAGTTAGACTACTCTCTGCGTCACCTCCGTCATTGGTGCCCAGATACGATGTCTGTTTATAATTGGTAAATGTTAAAAACCAGACAGGAAAATCAGCTCTCTCTCTTCCTGCCCTTGCTCAATCTCAGCAGCTTTTCCCGGTTTTGTAGGTTTGGCTTTTATAGTACTTTATACCAACAGGGGGCAAAAATTCTTTTGGCAATCCAAATGATTGCATTATGATTAATTTGTTCTGCTTGTCCTTGCATGTGAAATATTTCTGGTTTAGAGGTTGCCTTCTCTTCACAAGGCTGTTATATTTATCTTTGCTGTATTGATACCAGTTTAAAAATAGACATGCATGTTGATCTGTGCTGATCTAGTAGTATTTTTCTTAAATATCTTCTGATACTTTTCAGTGAGATCCTCTGAGAGTCCTCCATCTGCTTAAAGCGCCAAGAGAAAAAAATCAGGCATGTAATAAACTGGCCTAGGAATAAGCTACTCTCCAAGTCAAGCAGCTTTCCTGCCCACAGAGGAGCTTTCCTCTACAATTACTTTCAAAACGAGAACCATGCTTGCTGAATGACCCAGTAATGGCAGCACGAGATTAATGTGCTCTGCCGGTAAATATGACGTTGAGCTGCGGTTTGGGAAAAATCTTTGTGCTTCCTGAAGTCTATGATTTGAATGGTGATAATGCACCTGTTTTGTCAAGAATAACTTGTCATGGATTTTCTTACTGTTTCATTTAAGGGAGAGAAATTCTCTGGTAATTGGTATTTTAGTTTCTTAGCAGATCGATAAATCCAATTAAAAAGCTTTTATCAGAAGTGCACCAGATTTATATTTTAAATTTCAAACTGAAGTAAACAATTTTTGTGTTATTACCTAGGGATGATAGGACACAAATATACAGGGAAGCGAAAGGCTTTGTCCACAGAAGTTTGAGGTGAGATGTAATCCCAGAAGACGTGGTAGCAGTCACAAGCAAACGGCAGAGGAGGACAGTGAGACAGTTAAAAGCAGAAGAATAAACGCCCGTCAGCTACTCTGTTCAGTAATTGCTGTTTCTAAGGAAGCTACTTAGAAACTGACATATGTGGTATCTTATGTAAAACTGTGATTAATTTGTTTCCTTGCCTGTCAGGGAGATATGATATATGGAAAATATGCCAGACTTTCCTTCATATGGGAAAGATACTGCTAAGATAATGATGAACTTTTTGATGAAGTAAGGAAAACTATTTTAATTTGAATGAAAGCTGGCTTTTCTCCCCAAGGTCTTTGTTTTTCAAAACTGGACCATTGTAAAAGGGAGCTTCAACCAGTGGAGCGCTGGATCCATCACTGGGCTTGGGATATACTCATTCATTACTCTTCCCCGTCTGCCTGCAGGTTCTGGATGCCTTCTGTGGGATCCGTTTTGTGCCAGCAGGGTGAGTTAATCAACTTGAGCTGCTGGAAAATGAATCCGTTTCACTTGGTGGTCACGGAATTGCTTGATCTAGTGCATGGGAAGACGCCCTCCCTTGAGAGAGGTTGAGAGGGATCCCAGATGACCATAGCCTGGAAGTTAGGGTATTCAGGTGGCTGGTAGCTGACGTTGCTACATTCCAGTTCCAAATTATGCAGCACAAGATGCATTTGAACTTGTCTCAGCTATATCATAAGATTGTTCCACAGAGGGCTATTGTGGTTAAAGTGAACACGTTACCTCCTTCTCTTCATTTTCTCTGATGTCTCGAAGGGCCGGCATACACCAAGCATTC